GCATTTTGGTAATCTCTCGAGGCTTACTGTATCTTGGACTTGCTCAGGCTCCCCCCGAAAAAGGATTCTTGCTGATGCTACTCGCCGATTCTTCAATTCCATTGTGTGCCAGGAGATGTCTACTTCCTTGCCGTGTCAATGGGCATCTGTGAGGTGATTGAAGATGAGGCGCACAAGATTTGCTTTGTCGGAAGTTGGAAGCTATCAAACGCTTGATGCTTGAGTTGATCTTGATTGTGCATTGAAGGCTTTGTGTGAATCACAGTGCACATAGGGAGAAGCAGCGAACTTGGCGCACTGCATTTTGATGGCCAGATCAAGCGGATAAGCAGCTCCAGCATCCACTTGGAGAGCGGCAGAAGAGTAGAGGCCAGCTGCAGCCCACTAGTGCATAGGTCGGCATGGGTCTATCATCTGGTAGCTGAGTGACATGTTGGTTGAATGTGTTTTGGAAATCCCTGGTCCCACAGCTTTCATCATTGTCATTGTGAACTTAAACGTTTGAGGTGGATGTGATTCTGAAGCTCTATGGCTTCAATGGAAATTTCGATGTGGATCGTTTGATGTCTGGATGCTGAGAATGCTACCTACAGCTCGATGCCTTGATGTTCTTTCTGGCGGACGGAACCGAGGAATGTGAAAACAATGACTGGCTTTTGGGTTGATGAGGACTCTATACTCTATATACTTATTATGCATCTTGCTGTACCTTTCTGTACTTGCTTCAGATTCGTTGAGCGTGGAAGCAGTCTCCGAGCGAGTGGAGGATTTTCGTCGCTATTTGATCGCAGAACCCATCGGTGCTGGGCTCTCAGCCGTCCGCCACAAGTCAAGACGTGCATGAATGTGTAAGACCTAAGGCTTGAAAAGAAGGCTTTCTGCACTTTCCTATTGTACTTCTTATATGAATGTAGTAGTACGGGCCAGCATGGTCCCAACATGGGGGTGGTGGATTAAAGGACATCGAACACAGCACCTCTCAGAACAATCAAATGCTCACTCCAGCAATTCTATCGGCCGTTGCTGAGCAAGATCTCAGGTCAATGCCACCAATTTTGGTGGCACCAGCTTTTCCCCGGGCGTGCGTGCATGGGTCAACCACTCAGTGGGAAACATCCTCAAACTTGCAATCTTTGCCTTGGTGTACTCAGGTGGACTATGTGGCGTACTTCCTGTGGTGCTCCACACAGCCTGCTGTTATGCAAGAGGAGCATCCTGCTTGACCCACTGCCATCAAATAAGCTGTTATTCTAGCACTAATGACTAACCTTTGGCAAGACACGAATGTTTTATATACATGGTTCTGTTTCGACTCCAATTGTGGTCAATGGAAGGGCATTATAAACGCAAAAACAGTAACAGCTGTGTGATGGTATGCTACAATGTTTGACGGACAAGCAAACCATAATCTTGCAAGCCTCTGCCAGTCAGCTCTGGTTGAATCGTTCTTGCCTCTTTGTCACATACCGGGCTCAGGTACCCCAAAGACTGGGCGAACTTGCGAGATTGCGGTAGGAAAGCCTAGGAACGGTGACCAATCCTGACAGAAAGTCCTGCGTGTGGTGTAAACCGAAGCTTTAGTTTCAACAACATGGTGTAGCTGTTGTTTCTGCAAAGTGCCGCTTATAAGATAGACAGCATATATTATGTCAATGTACAATTGTTCCTTAAGTTCCTTAAGTAAGGTAAAGCTCTCAAGCCCAGACTTGAGCATTGAGGAAAATCGTTCTATGTTGACAAGTTGAGCATAGCAGCACTTTCAACTTTAATCTATGTGGCACGGCATAACGCATCTCTTACTTGTACCTGCACGAAGCTGAGTAGAGAAATAATATTGCCTCGCAGATTCGCAAACGAATTTGGGCAAATGAGACCAGCCGCATGACTCAGTATCTTGATTGAGGCTTGTTGCCAAAACACTCGGAAGAACCAGAGTATGACAGACCTGCTTATGCTGGGATCTCAAGCTTTGTAGTACAGTTGCGAAGTTGCAGCGTCTTTCGTTGTTCCAAATCTCAAAGTTTAGAACTCGTGCATTTGAGGTCATCGATGCCCGTCACGGGACACAGACGGGCATGGGCATCAGTCGGGGATCCCAGTGCCTAGCAGATGCCTAGCAGATGCCCCGCAGATGCCCAGCAGATGGAGTAGAATGATGAATGATGAATGATGTAGAATGTTTGATCACCATTGGAGCAGCTTTTGGACAAGTCAGGGAGTAACATCACCTTGTTCCACAGATTCTTCCAGCCATTCCGACACACGCCATAGTATTGGCAACGCACTTGAAACAACTAGGCTGGCAGAGGTGCCAGAAGGAAAGCTTGCTTGTAGCTAAAATGTTCTGAGTCTGAAAGTAGCATAAATGTAGTACACTTACTGTAAATTATAGTAGTATCCACAACATAATATGCATACATAGTGTGTTTGGCACGAGCACAGTGCACGAAAACGCTGGCTGAAACAGATTGTTTTGTGGCACTCGGTGCCACTCATACCTGCTAAGAATGCCGAATGCTTCAAACTTCATGCTTCCGCTTCTAGGCGCTTCAACGCCTGCAATAGGTGAGAGCCACATGGTGGGAGCCCCAAAGCGCAGCAGTGAGACATGCTCAGCCCCAAGAACAATGCATTTTTTCAAGTTTTTCGAGCGTTTCAGCATGACAGATTTGAAGTAGTGAAGTAGTGTTATCCAAAGCCATCCAAAGCCCAAGTGTGTTTGCAGTAGTCAGTAGTTATATACAGCGGCGTTGCTGTGGAGCTGTGGTGGCTCTCATCAAAAACGTCTAAGACATATCAAGCAATTGTCAGGGCTTGGGCATGGTGAAGCGACAAAAGCAGCTCGAATGCCATCCCACCAAAAAGCTTGCTCCTCAGAACCCTTGGATTAAGCCCCCAAGCTTTGGAACATGAAAGGAATGGATTTGTGATTTGTCACGCCACACATGCTTTGGCTCACACAGGTTCTTGGCAGAATGCTCTGAAGAGTGGGCGGAATATGGAAAGAAATTCAAGGTGGGTGACTTCCATCGTGGACAGGAAGGGAGGTCGTGAGGTTGTGAAGACTGGCAAGTGGTCCACAATGGTTAAACTAGGCCTTGCCAAGTCACAAAAGTTTGTTGGCTTCGTGTTATTAATCATGAATATCCACCCTATACGATTCCAGACACACGTTAGTCATTTTTACTTGGTGTTGATGGATGTTGACGGTGGGATTCAGAAAGACCTTAAAGTGTTTGACCTTTTTTTCCCACTGCATGTTTCCTTGGCCTGTCTCGAGACATATTACGCATCATGTGACTAACATGGCAAGCCATGCGTATGTGTATGTTTGCTATACTGCAACAGTTTTCTTTGCAACCCCGGCGCCTCCTGCTTGAGGAGCTTGGAGCTCCGTTTGATTGTCCACCTTATCCGTACACGCTCAAGTTCGTAGAGGACGAGAGGGAGAAGACAATGAAGGGGAATACGCCCACTGTATAGCGTATACTGTACAACCATGTACGAACTAACTAGCAAGATCAATATTTGTGCAAAGTTCAGCAGCACTTGAAATCTACGTCGTTGGTCAGATGGAAGGAGCTTCTTGCGCTGAATGACGAGGAGGGCTTGTCGGCATCTTGGAACATGGCGAAAGCCAACCTGAGAACTAGCTTGTCAGTGTGAAGCAAACGGACACCAGATCGAACCAATCAAACATGTTTTTCCACTTCAAGATGTGTGTGCGTATGTGTGGACGGTTAAATTGTTTGCCGTAAAATTGACTGCTCTGAGATGCCCTGAGATACACAGGGAACCAATCACACCTTCAGACAACTTGAGGCAAAAAGCAGCAAGGCAGGGCTAGGACCATTCTCTTCCAGCTTGGACGAGATGTTAATGAGTGCGGCCGCTGTGAAAGCCAGCATTTGTTTGTACAAAGCATGTTCGCTTCAAGCAAAAAGTGCGTACTTGTACCGTGAGTCTTACCCAGTCTCGTTTGTGTGGGGCTTTCCAACTTCAGCTAGATTTGGGAGCCATCATCCAGATGTGCAGTTTCTCTTCGGTGAAACCATGCACTGAAATATTAGCTTTCAATATTGTTTGTTCAACATCGCTTTGCAAACTACAGAATACTTCCATAAACCGTCCACACCGAATTGGGCCACTGGACTGTAAACTGTAGACAAGTCCAACTGCTTTGTGTGCACAGAGCCACACTTCTCCCTGACTATGCTGCAGCGAAGAAGGAAGAAGGTTTGTTCGTGACCAAAGAATCTAAAAATCCACTTGAGTGTGTGGCAGGTAGGCCACAATAAGAAAGAGGGAATCTAATTCATGTGCTTCAGCCCTCGCACGTGGCAAACAACCTTTTGCCATGGGACGGAGCAAAGTGGCAGATGGCACACGGAGGCGGAACAGTGCACGCTTGTTTGTTTTGAGAAAAGAAACCACCTGACCTTCCCTTTGAATGCTTCACATGTGTCCTTCAATTTTCATTAGTGAACACGCATCCACTCAAGGCTGAAGTGCTTGGATGTAAACATAGAAAACCCATGAAAAACCTATCCAAAACATTGTAAGGGCAAATTGGTATTGGAAAGCTGAGCTCCTTACTGATGTGTCGCATTGGTGGAAGGTGCAGAAACCTGTCCTGTGAACCCATCCAGGCATATCAAAAGCACACCTGAAAACATGATGCATAACCGACAACTCTCTTTGAGGGTCCAATCCTAAGACTATTCATGAGTCATGAATGGGTTCTGGGCCGATGCGAAGAGAAGAGATCCCCAATCCATGGAATCCATGTCCATGCAACAATATGTTTGTCGCACCCCATAAGTGCCCAGAAGAGACATAGATCAGTGGCCTATTTGGCTATTGGGACAGCTCAATGGGAGGGCTGCACTTTTCTTCTATGATGTTGGGATTCGAATATCAGGCCTTCTAATGTGTTTTTCCAGCGGCAGGCATCAAGGTTCTGCTTCAGCTGCAAGTTCCGTACAAGTGCCTTGTAGGGGATGGACGAGAGCATGGCACCCATTCGCATTGACGTATGTCTCGTAAGCAGTCGCAGCATTTGTTTGACGGCTTTGCCTGAGTCACGTGTCAAGGAGCTGAAGGTGTTTGCTCAGCGTGCTTTCAGAGCTGGGGTATTGAGACTCTTCTCAGCCAGTGGGGCGCTTCTGGATCCCAGCAGCACAGTTCAAGATGTTGGTCTTCAGGATGGAGATGTCATCACAGCCGTTGCAGAATCCGTCCAGCTGGCTGCAAACCCCTGGGGTGCCACCATGACTGCCTTTTCTACGAGTGGACCTGTTGTAGCTTGGGGGGACGAGAGTAGTGGAGTGCCTAACAATCTTAAAGGTGTCCAGCAATTCAAACCACGGCGAATGCATTTGCTGCCATTCTCCAAGATGGCTCCGTTGTTTCATGGGGCCGCCGAGGAGGAAATAGTGATGAAGTGGCGCACAAGCTAAAAAATGTCCAAAAGATTCAATCCACCCACACAGCTTTCGCGGCCATAATTTCAGATGGGACGGTCATTTGCTGGGGTCCTCCTGAGGATGGTGGTGACAGCAGTGGAGTACAAGACCAACTGACAGACATACAAGACATCCAAGCAACATTGTGCGCTTTCGCCGCTATTCGAGGAGATGGATCTGTTGTTTGCTGGGGAAACCCGGCGAATGGTGGAGATTGCAGCAGCGTTCAAGACCAGCTGAAGAATGTGCAAAGCATCCAGGCGAACGCCTTTGCTTTCGCGGCAATTTTGGCAAATGGACACGTTGTCGCATGGGGATCTGACTATTTGGGTGGAGATCCAGGCGCTAAGTACTGCCGTCTGAATGTTTGTCAGATTCAGGCGTCCGAAGCAGCTTTTGCAGCGATCCGTGAAGATGGTCAAGTCGTTGTGTGGGGTGCGAGTCCAAATGGTGGCGATGCTTCCAAGGTCGAGCTGAACAAACCAGTTAAGCAAATTGCAGCTACCAGTTGCGCTTTTGCCGCCATTTGCACAGATGATACTGTCATCACTTGGGGTCTTTCCTTGCGCGGTGGGGACAGTCGCGCTGTTCAAGACCAGCTCAAGGAGGTCCGGCAGATTTGTGCAAGTTGGTCTGCATTTGCTGCCATCGTCTCCGACGGACGGGTTGTAACCTGGGGACATCCTGACAGGGGAGGCGACAGCAGACATGTTCAGGACAAGCTGAAAAATGTGCAACATATTCAAGCAAATAGAAAGGCTTTTGCTGCCATCCTAGCAGACGGATCTGTTGTTACCTGGGGTGATCCAGAATCAGGCGGAGACAGCAATATAGTCCAGGATCAGCTTGAAGAAGTCCAAGCAATCCAGGCGTCTGAATTTGCATTTGCTGCCTTATTGGCAGATGGCCAAGTTATTTCCTGGGGTTTCAGCGACCACAGCCTTGCACAGGAGCAGCTGGAGACTCTGTAGGTCTAGCAGCACTATCTTGGCCCAAAGTTGCCAGAATGTGCGTGGTCTCGTTTAATGTGTGAGATCAGATCAACGACAGGCATCACCGCCAACAACTTCGAGCGCTTGCTTTGCAGGTTGCTGACTGGTTCGCTTCACCATTTGTTTCTGCTTCTGTGCTTGTGCGCCCTGAGCCAGGAAGGTCAGCGTCCCTGGTAGCGCGACTGCGTTCAGCTGCCAGAGGCATCAGCAAGGGAAGAAGGGAAGGGCAGGAAGGGGAGCAGTCCCAGAGGTTTACAATATTATCACTACTATTTGTTTATTTGTTTAATCCATCATTGTATGAAATTATGATTTTGTGGTTTGCAGATCTTGCAGCTGTTGGCATTCTGACAACTTCGGACTTTGTGAGGCCAAGGCAAAGAGGATGGAAAGGCCGCTGCCAAAGAACTGCTGTCGCCAGAGGTTTTGTACCCTGGCGACAAATGCGAATGGGAAACGTGCAGGAGTAGAAGCTGCAGATCATTCATTTTTCAAGTGCTTTTCTTGTTTGATGCTCCATGAGCATGCTTCAATACATTTGACTCTCCGATACTCTGAACAGCCCAGTACAGTGTTGATGGATTTCCACTCCAAAACGCCCACACTCCGCATTCGTACTGCAGAGCACTGGTACCAATCAACGCAAGAGCAACATCAAGGAATTAGGATTATTACTACAGTAGTAGCACATTCAAGCAACAGAGGTAGCACATTCGTGGAGCAGCTGCAAAGTGGCGTAACCGCCCAAAGTAGCATGCAAACTGCTGCCATAAGTGGCAGTGCGCCGAAACTACAAAGCAGCCAAGTAGCCCATTGTAAGTCCATTCGTCCGCATGTCCACCTGGCCTCGTGGCCTTTCATGCTCCATGTCAATGCAACGACGTCCATTTGGATCATTCATTGTTCAAGGTTGTCTCAAGGCTTTGCCATTCTCATACATGTCCAATCAAGATAGATGCTGCCTTTCCTTTCTTCAGGCCGACGCTGCCGCCACGGCAGTTGTCACTCACAACCTGGTGCTTGGCACGACTTGAGGCATCAACAGACAGTTACCAAGCGGATAGCCAACAGTTTTGAACTCAAAAGACACTGCTTGCAAGTTGGGTGACGACATCAGGCATCAGGGTCATGAAATGGATTGGGGATGGAAAGGATATATCGATATCTAACAAGGGCTGCATTGTTGGTGCTGGCACGCCGGTCGAATCACTCGCATGCCAGTCACATAAACAGTTTGACTTGGAGATCTTGGAGAGGCGAATGGCCTGGCGCTGGCCAGCGGACATGTCCGAGCACGCGCCCACGAGTTTGATGCCCACGAGTTCGGAGCTTGGCTCTCTCGCACTAGGTACACGCCTTGCGGCCGGACTGCTTCTTTTTTTTGGATACTGTGGACGTGGATGAGGGTGTTACCGTTACCTCCAATATCCTCCAATGTTTGGCATTGGTACGAATAAAATACTGCATCAAGATAAAAACAAGTTAGTACCAATGACCTTTAGCCAACAAACATTGAGGATGGGGAGGCGCTGCGTCCTTCCCCTCAAAACCCCATCCCGCGCCACAAAATCTGTATATATATATACACATGGTATGTCTATGCCCTGGCCTGCCACAAAATCCAGATGTTTACGCAATCTACTCCATGTTCCATTTCGGTGGCTGGAGAATGGAGCAACTTACTGCAGTCATGGTCTGGCTTTAGATGGGCGAGACGAATACACGCACACACACACACACACTTATGGACATGCGTACTGACTTGACAGCGGTGCCACACGCCTGCCTAAGAAACCCAAATCCTGAAAGGTCCAGGAAAGTGCTTGACTGCAGCTGCATTAGCCCTTTACAAGAAAGTTCAAAATTTCGAAGGAAGCAGGTACGTCGGTGAGCGTCCCCACCGATATCAGTGTTCAATGCAAGCCTCTTCGTTGGGCTTGCATGAACAACCAGCCCCCCTGCTTGAAACAAAACGAAAACGAAAACAATTCAAAAGAATCCCTGTGACTACAAGGGGCACACACACACACGCCTTCCGGAGGGGAGGCGTGAAGCTAAGGTGAGGGCCAATGTGCACGTGTGCGCGCACAAGACAAAAGAATGAAGACATGACAGGAAGACGAGACGAGACAAAGGTGCGTGTGGCTGAAATGAAAAGGGAACCAAGTGCACAGGGACACCCGATGAAGCCCACCTCATTGTAAAGACCTGGGCGACCTGAAACCTGTGCTTAAAGGTATGTAGAAGTGCACGTACACACTAAGGCCGGGACCAATGTGCACGCAAACGAAGAAAAGGATGAGATGAACAGACATGAAGACAGGAGGACATGAAAGAAAAGAGGGAACAAAAGTGTGTGAAGGGGAAGGGATGAAAGGGGAACCAAATGGAGGGGACGAGAACCGATGAGACCAAACCTCATTAGAAGCACCTAGGGACTTGCCTCGTTTGAATGTAAGCGCTGTGCGTGCACCTGAGGTGGGGACAGGTTCCAATGAACCGGAAACTGGTTTTGACCGCTGTGGTCACCTTGTGCCCTGCCGAAATGGCTGGCTGCTTTGACTGCTGCGGTCACGTAAAGGCATGAGCCAACTTGGAATTCCAAAAATGAGACAAACATCTAAGTTCTTGTGGCATGAGCCATCTGCTGTCCGCTCCGGACGCGTACATCTCCAGGCAGGGGAGATAACGACAGACACCCGTTCGACGGGTCCACGGGAGGCACTCTACGGGCTCATCCCGGACTCTCACTGGGAGAGACACACTTATGGATATGCGTACTGACTTGACAGCGGTGCCACACGCCTGCCTAAGAAACCCAAATCCTGAAAGGCCCAGGAAAGTCCTAAAGAGCGTGGGGGTCTTCAAAAGGAAGTGTGGCCCAAAGCGCGAGGCGAAGCCGATCCGACAAAGTGACGACGTTCCGTGCGTGACTGCAGCTGCATTAGCCCTTTACAAGAAAGTTCAAAACTTCGAAGGAAGCAGGTACGTCGGTGAGCGTCCCCACCGATACCAGTGTTCAATGCAAGCCTCTTCGTTGGGCTGGTACTTGCATGAACAACCAGCCCCCCTGCTTGAAACAAAACGAAAACGAAAACAATTCAAAAGAATCCCTGTGACTACAAACTCTGTTCTTTTTTTCCTGCCGGGAACCTGTAGATAGGTCATGATCGCAGTAAGTCTCAATTTCCTTCTCCAGCCACCACAGCGTAACGTAGAGTAGATTTCTACGGACAATCAATTCATGATGGCAGTAAGTTTCCCCACACAGAGAGACAGTTATTTCTAGGTTGTGCTGCCTGCTTTGTGTGCTACTGGTTTTGCCAGAAAGCATTGTTTTTCTGTGAGCTGCCGGTGTTTGCGTGCGAACAAGCCTGGACAAGCTTTCGGCCGCTGCACTGTTTTTCAATCCTGGGTTAGACCTAGTTTTTAGTAAATAACACTTTTTTGATCTGAACAAGTTCTTTTTGATCATTGGGTATTCGTTTTGGATCCTTCTACTCCAAGGCTGTCCATGATGGTGTGGGCTTTTGCCTCAAGGACGAAGGCGGGGGCTAGAATTGCACACATTAGCTGACTTGGAATTTCATTATGTTGTTCCACTATATGCGCAGGCAAAGGTGGAGGAGGACGTAGATCACAAGGAGCCGTGATCAGGCGTTGTTGAATTACATCTGGAAATGTTGGCTGTCCACAGAAGAGTTTCTTGGCAGGAGCTGGGAAACGTGCTGATCAACGAAGCTTTGAGTGAAATGGTTGCAGCTAAAGGATTTTCCCGCTTTGATGCACAAACTGAACCATGAGACAATAGCAACTGCAAGTGTTTTTGTTTTCACTCAAGGAAAACTTCCTGAAGCATCCATTGCCAATCTGGGCAACTTGCTCCTTGTCAAGTTTGGAGCTTCAGCATGCCTTGGTACAAATCCCCTTGAATCAACATCAAAACAAACTTACGGACCTAGTCACACTTCCAGGTTCACCACACAGTGACCTGCACACGTTTGTTCATTTGACACATTAAGGTTTTGTCCGTGTAGATCAATGTTTGTGACATTGTGAGGGATATGACACTTGAAAGTGGAACAGTCAGTGGTTTGGTATCGGTCAAGACGCGGCAATACTGCTAGATACGTTTGAAGCAATGGATTGACATCATTCAATGATGACAAGGTGTGCAATGGGCGTTGCATATTTTTCTGCCAGGCTGTGGGCGAGTGCCACTCTCGGGGTCAACCTTACAAGCTTGGCAGCGGCAGCTGCCGTACTGATGAGCAAGCCATCGTTTAAGGAGGCGTCGCCCCAAGGCCACGGATGTCAAACATTTGGTGGAAGAATGACAAATCTACAAAAGGAAGGTAAGGCCGCAAGATCTTAAAGGGCCTGACCTTCCTTTTTTCATTTATTCCTGTGACTTAACGTAGATGTGGCCCAGAAGAAAATAGACCAGACCCAGGGGCGCAGCGGTATCAAATTCTTGCACCGCAGTCCCATGTCCTTTCAATGACATGACATGACACTTGCAGCTCCTTACAACGCAGGAGTTGCTAATATGGCATGGGCCTTGGCGATTTCCGCTCTAAAATCTGGAAGCTGCCAAGCATTGAGCCTTTGGCGGGCATTGAGACAGAGCGTCGACAGATCCCTTCGACGGATCCCTTTGGAGTCAAGTCAGTCAGAAAACCATGCATGGTTTGATATGAAGTGCCTTCAAAATGTGCGGTGATTGTGATTGCACAAGAACGTCACCGCATTGATGTGCGGGCACACTCCAATCTCTGGGAAATGATATGGGACTCACCAAAAAAACGATACTGTACCCTTTAGCAAGGTTCCAAAACATTGGGAAACGATAGGGGACTCACAAAACAGAGGATACAACAGCCACACATAATAAATGTTGTGAATTTGAGGTAGGATCACATTCTGTTGAGCCAGGTTGTCACACTATGTTGTGTCTGCCGCCATTTGGCTCCTAGGGCCCTTGAGCTATACCGTGCTCGCTTTCGCACTGAAAAGAGCGTGTGGACAGTACGATTCCGATTGCTACCGATATTGGTAGCGGAGCAGGTGACGGCCTGACTCCGGCACGTACTGATCCAGGTCATTAGAATCGTAGAACAACAAGCCTGAGCTTGCTTTTTTGCGTGCTTTCGCTTGCCCTCTCTGATCCCGCTTGGGACAGAGGCCCAGAATAGACTGCTCACCCCGAGCGGTCAGCGCCGGAATCGTCGAACATGTCCATTGCCGGGCTCAAGTTTCATTCGGGTAGCACTGGTGACAGGGTAGGCGACCCCCTTGAAACCAAGAGTGGGTCTTACATCTATTGGGGAGATCCTGCGTCGTTTCATGATTGGAAATTCCGCACTGAACCCCGCATTAAGCTGTACGACCAAGCCCAAACGCAACAGGACAAGAAACAGGATCCCGATGTTGGACCTGCCGATGAGGGAGAGCCTTGGCCTGCGCGAAAGAGTTGCTTGCTCTCCTCCAAGGCTCGAGGGAACACATGATTGCGTATCACTTCGATGAGGCGCTCTAGTCCCCCTGGACGAGCTAGCGTCTCTAGACCTAAGTCTCTGGCAAGCAAAAAGGCGTCTCCCCTTAGACTCTACGATCTTGTTCACTAACACGCTTCGATCAATGATGCTTGACTTGTCTGACTTGACGGACGAAGCCTTTGGTGAAGTCGCCTTAGCCTTCGACTTGGGAGAAGCAGCAGTTTCACGCGGCTCAGGTTCGAATTCACCTGGATAACGCCCAGGCGAAGGGAATACGTATCCTTCTTCAGACTCTGGTGGCAGAGACAAGGTGGACCGCTTGCTAGACAGCCTACAGAAAGCATGTTGTCGTACACTCAGCGTCGACGACGCTGGTGGACTTTGCTGGTTGAGCTTGACCCCACGATGATGATCTCAGAAGCTTTCCGCGCAGAGCTGTTGTTGGAGATGTCAGGTAGAGATCCTCGCGGTGAAGGCTTGCCGCAAGAGCGATGACTTTGAAGGCGCTGCGCGAGTTTTTGTTGACAACTATAGTGGAATCCATCTTCGTGAAGGATCCCGATCCTGGGCAGGACGGGGAAATCAGCCTCAGACAGGTAAAGGAAAAGGGTACCAAAAGGGGTACCAAGGCAAAGGCAAAGGTAGCCAAAATTTTCGAACAGGTTACATCGCCTCCTATCCCGATTGGGAAGGAGAAACCGAATGGATGTGATGTTCCACTTGTCTGGGGCTTTGCTTTGCATCCAGGGCTTTGGATGCAGCATTAAGTTGCAAAGGTTTTGCTCAGCAGGTTCAATGGTTTGTGGCCATTGATGAGTCGATGAGTTGCAAAGGTTTTGCTGAGCAGGTTCAATTGTTTGTGGCCATTGATGAGTTGCAAAGGTTTTGCTGAGCAGGTTCAATGGCTCGATGTGGTCATTGATTTAGGATCAATGCTAGCTCACCGTGTGAAACTCAATGAGCCAAGAGAACACAAAACCAATATATGTGAAATATATGTTCTTTTTGGTGTGGGTCCAGAGTGTGGTGCTTTTGCATACTCGCTTCGCTTGGCTGCCATTTCTGAACTAGCCGGGGGCGGGTGTACACGCGAAGTGCTGGAGGCCATGATACTGATAGGGTTCACAGTTTTTTCGCCTACCACTCCCGACCACTCAGTCAACACGCCAGGCCAGGCTTTTTCTTCGCTTTGCGGCAAGACCTAAGGCTTTGGCCCTGTGCGCATACATTGACATGTGACATGTGTATTGATTCTGTGTCATTTGGGCGCCACAGTGAGGTGACAATGAGCAACGTTGATGCATGAGACCTGGATCCAACCCAAACCATTTTGAACTGGGGAGTTCTGACGCTTTCATGCCCCAGGCGATCTTTCGATCATTGGCTCGTTCAAGATCTCCCCGTCGGATGGCCATGGTCCCCAGATCCCCTTTGGAATTGCTACAAACAAAGTTACTAAGATATGTATCTACTGGGTTCTGTAACTTAGGCCGGGCTTCATCGGGGTCATTCAGCTTTGCATCGACAGGCAAGGATGATTTTTGTTGATGATATGTCTACTTGTTTTGGGGTGCTACTTCGACCCTGTGCAGAACGCTATCATGGACTGGTCTCCTTTGACCCAACCTTAGACCATTGATGCAAAAGTCGTGCTAGCCACAAGTCAAGTTTTGACGCGTCGCCCAGGACCAAGCAGTTGGCAGAGCACAAACGAGCGGGCTCTGGAACTTTGTTGGAGGACTCAATTGATTCTTATGGATCTTCTGCTCAGTGCTCATTCTAGCTCCTGCCTTTGGTATTGAAACGCATCGCCAGGATCAGAGCACTTGTTCTGACATGGGTGATTCTCCTGAATCTTCACAAGAAGAGGCCATTTGCTTTAGAACTTTAGAGTAAGATTTCATCATTCATAGTCTATTTTCAACTCCCGTGCCATCATCCCACATCCCAAGTGCTCTTCGGCGCAAGCTTCGAGCGACCGCAGGCTCGCAACAAGAACTTCGCCCAAGAGGTTGAATTTTCACTTGCTGTTCTGAAGGAAGTTGGGGGCTCAAAAGCACAAAGAGCTCGAACCTTTGAGTAAAACACAAAGTTGGGGGCCCAAAAGTAAGATCAATGTTTTCCAGGTAAGACGCTTTGCTTCTTCGGTAGATGCCATCGAGAAGCCCGACACTGCGATCAAGAAGTTGCGCATCATCATGAATGAAGCCGTCGACCAATTGCGGGTTGAGGATTACACCCTGCACTTTCTAGGGGAGTTAGAAAGTGACTATTGACCTTGACAAAGATTGGGGCATGGCGTTTGTCTTGAAAAGCCAGCATTCTTGTGCAATTTCTGCATGCGAACAGTTCTTTTGAACCAACTGTGAGTTCTAGTTGAACATTGTGGATTGTTTCTGCAGCCCTGTTTCCATATTGTCTTGCGCCGCTCTCACCATGCCCATCCTGGCTGATGTTGATGACCTGAGTGAGCCGGTTGCCCAGTCAACACACACTGTCAACAGTGAGTTCAGACACCCTGTCAACACACAATCCTTGCCCTTCTGCTAGTAGGTGTGGCAGTGGTCAAGATGATCCACCAAAGCGAAAAAAGACCAGGGCCAATGTCCCAGCACTCTTTGCAACCCCAGAAAGAGTCATGTTGCATCAATATGTATCAATGTAAAGCGTAGCAATATTTGAAATTGAACATGGAGTGGCAATGTGATACATACACTATGCCGTATAGGATCATTTCCTTTGAAGTTTACATTCCATTACCCGTGCTCAGGCGCCAGGGCTTCCCAAGTTCGGCAAGCTGATTCGAGGGCGGTTGACGTCTTGGACCCCCAAGTTCATGCCGCAACCCAAAAGGACCAAACTCAGCGTTCGGCTTGTTACCGGGTCGCAAGCGTTCATGACCCCTTTTCAAGAGTTGTTTAAATCGAAGCGGCAATGCGCTTAGGTTGCAAAGAAGCCTCGCAAAGGGACAAAGTCCAAGTCAACACCGGTGCCCTCTAAGTTTCTGACACTCACATCATTTGGAACGATTCGCCCTCACCTCAGAGCGGGATGGCAACCAGTCGTTTGCAATGTAGAGTTGTGGATAACATAGTCGCTTCAGGTTGCTTTGGGAGCACCACTCGGGCAAACCTGAATTGTTTGACCGAGAGGGGGTGTCGGGACTGACTGACTTAGTGCTGCTTCAAACACTGACACCAGAAGAAGACTTCCAGATTTGCTCAACTTTTGCAATTGCTCCAGGACTGTTCCAATCAGATCCACTACTGGGCCGACTATCGTTCAGCATGCAAAAAACGCAACAAGAAACCGGGCAAGATCATCGCGTGCCACACTGCTGAGTATATGGCTGGTCCATCCCTCAACTGATGGCAACCTCAAGCGCATGACAAATGGACAAACGGTCAATTGTTTTTGCTATATGTTTCCCAACAGGGCTGCTTCTCTTTGTTTTGAAGGCTTGCCGCGGGGCTGGTCAGACCCAACCCCTGGGTCTGTCAAAAGGAAGCCAAGTGGCATGTATCGCTGGCTTCGCGAGGATGAGGCGCAACCTGCGGCAACAGTCAGTTCAAGTGGCTTGAAACCTGCAGCCCAAGCCTGTGTCAGGGAACAAAGAAGCACCTCGTGGTATCTTGCTTTTCTGGTATATTGGGACTTGACCTTGGAGCATCACAGCCTGGAACTTATGGAATCTTCAATGTAGATAGATTCAACAAAACCTTTGGCCCACTTGTTCAATGTGGGTGGTTTTGAATGGTTTTGAACTTCGGGAAACACAGAAGTAGGAGTGAACCATCGTGAACCCAGGTTTGTGGAGCCAATAGCAATGGTCGGGGCCTACAGTACGCCTTTCACCTGATTTCGTGAAACAATCTTTTTTGAGGTCGAGTGCAATCAGTTTTGCCAGTCAGTGGCTGTTGCACGCATGGCGGACAATCTTGTCAAGACCGTGCCACTGTTCGATGATATTCAGCAGTTCAGCATGTCATCTTTGAGACCCAAGTACGGGTCTGCTGATGGTATTATGGGTGGATTTCCCTGCCAGGCACATTGTCACAGTCAGCGTAACTGTGTAGAACGCATGTCAGTGTGTCTTCCTGACCC